CAAAATTTAAATGCCAAAACGGCATCATCATTATGTTTTCAAACTTAGGTCATTTTAATTCTAGAAGCTGAAATTGAATTTCACATTCAATTCTCGAGCTATCAAAATACTATTGAACAACATCTATTCACCAAAACAAAAGTTACATTTTCATCTACCAAACTTGTACTTCAAATTTTATTTAAGTACTAAATACAAGTTATGTTTTATTTTTGTTTACAAAAATTGTTTTTCATGCTTAATCAAATAGGACAAGCCACTCACTATTCATTTGCTAGAATTGCTATCATGCATTTTAAGCACTTTCTTCATACTTTTCCAAAACAAACCCTAAACAACTTTTGTTCCCAAGATTATTTAAAAGCTTTTAAGTACCAAAGAAAAATTGATTAGCAACACTTATTTGATTCTTTTATTCACAAAAGTAAGTCACACCAGGTTCACCATACTATTTCATGTGAGAATTTATTTTAAAATCTAGGAAAACGTATATGCTGGGGTTTGTTAGGCCTTAACCTCAGTGCTAACTAAGTCCGTAACACCAGGGGTGTTACATAAAGAGAAGGAGAGGAACGCGGCGATGTTTTCTGAGGTCGCCACTCTCCATTAGTCCTTGTTGGAGCACCCGCACAAGGGTGTAGCTCCCCCTTGATCCACGCAAGGATCAAGTGCTCTCTACGGGCTGATTCTTCGACACTTCGTTGTGATGAATCACCCATAACCGCTCACACCATGACTTGGGTCATCCACAAGTTCCACCGAATGATCACCAAGCTTCCAATCACCACCGAGTCGTCTAGGTGATGGCGATCACTAAGGATAACAAGCACAAACTCTCACTTGACCCAACCAAGTCTAATGAGAAGAGTGGATGCACACTTGCTACTCTCTATGCACTGATGAGGTCCTTAATCTTAGATTAGCAAATCTCAATCACCCCCACTAGGCTCTTGCTCTCCCTTGCACACCAAATGGTTTTCTCAGCTGAACAAATAGGCAAGAGAGCTGAGTTGGATGAGTAGAAGTATTTATACTCCCCCATTCAAAACATGACCGTTACTGTCCAACTCAGCAAAACATGAGGTGATCGGACGCGTAGGTCCTCATGACCGGACATGTAGGTCAATACACCGCATCCGCAATTGGCCAACCTTGTCAGAGAGAGCCGTTGGAGTGACCTGACGTTGAACAGCGTCTGGTCAACATCCACCGGACATGTCTTGTCAGGAATTTTGGCCTCTGGACCCTCTCTGATGTCGACCTGATGCTGCAAGCTCAGAGTTCGATCGTTTACTGTTCAACGTCAGATCCTCCCTGACAGCGAGGCCCCACTGCTACAGATACGACTAGAGGTGCGTCTCGTTCTAATCACTGTGCAGCGTCTGGTCGCTCCTTGACTTCTGCTGCGCGCGCTGATCACCGACCGGATGCAACACCTGTGAGTCCGGTCATCACCAAACCAGTGTCTAGTCAACATTTTGACACTCCATTGACTTCCAATTCAAAATCCTTTGTGAATGAAGTCGACTCCACTTGATCTTTGGGCTATTTCTGAGCTACCAAGTGCTAAGTTTAATAAGTGTGCATCATACCTAACCCATTAGACTCACCTAGGTCAAGCTACTAGTTCATATCCTCTTAATAGTACGATCAAAGGAAAAACAAAGTTCTAGACTACTCTAAGTGTCTCTCCAATGCCAAATGACAGTTAGAACTAGTCCGTCCTTAACCTTGTCGTCCATCTTTTGAAAACCGAAACGATTTTCATCGATAGGGGCATGAAAACCATAATTGCCCAAACGATCATCATTACCATGACCTAACTCAAATTGCCTCTACAAAACACACGTTAGTCACAGTAATCTTGTGTCATCATTAGTCACCGAAACCCAACTAGGGGCCTAGATGCTTTCATGATATTTGCGCCGAAAGATGTTGCAAACGTATATTTCGAGTGTTTCAGAGGTATGTTGTAAGTGTTTTATATCGATGTTGTAAAAGTAAACTGAAATGTTGCAATGGTTGTACATGTATATTGCAAAGGTTTGTTACCAATGTTTCATCACTATTTTTGGACGTACGTTGTAAGTGTGTTTATCTGGATGTTGCGTATGTTTGCAAAGGTTTTCAAGTGTTTTTTTTCAAGTATATCAGAAGTATGTTGCAAGTGTGTGTTTCAAATATTTCAGTTGTTTTCAGATAAATGTTGCATATGTTGTAATTGTGTGTTTCAAATGTTTTCGTTGTTTTTATATATGTTGTAGTGGCCACACACATATGTTGCAAGCATATGTTTCGTATGTTTCATCTATTTTAGACGTATGTTGCAGCAAGTCCTCCATGTTGCAAGTATTTCATGAGGCGCAGGCGGTCTCTCGGGCGCAGGCAGTTCCCATGGGGCGGGCGAGTGCAGGGGGCGTAGCAGGGCGAGCAGACACAGGCGCGCAGCATGGCACAGGCGAGCAGCAAGGTGCAGACGAGCAGCAGCAGGGCGCGGGCAAGCAACAGCATGGCGAGCAGGGCGAGCAGGGCAGTCAAGCATGCTCCAATGCGCGTCCGTGAGTGGGGGGCAACCAAAGGGAGCGCGTAGGAGACAACCACCTGACGTGGAACCCGTCGCAAGAGGTAGAGGCGCTGGAGCGTTGCCGTTTTCTACTGATCCGTATTGGTTGCTGGTGGGGCTAGCTGATAGCCGAGGGAGGTGTGCTTCGCTGGCATCGGCCGCACGTCCACGAGTGTGTAGGGGTGAGTGCGCCGTGTGGACCACACGGGCGAGCACGCGCTGGGTCGAGCGGCGTGCGCGTTGCTGGGCGCTAATAAGCCCCCTTCGTTAATTAAGATCTCTGTCTTTTTCTTGTTTTGAACATCATTAACATCTCTTATCTTAATCTCCAAGAAGTGCTAATAGAAAAATGAGTTCGCTAGTGAAATTTAGGCCCTTAGGAAGAGCATTTCACTTTAAGTGATCTCCGATTTTTTTCCAATTAAGGCCTGGTGTGAAGCTGTATAGGCCCAATTACGTGGCCCATTTGCTGCACTGTTCGGCCATTGACGTCTCCGTTCAGAGACTTGCATTTGCACGGAATTTAGAACCCGATAATAATTGCTAATAAAACCTGACACACACACACACACACACACACACACACACACACACACACACATATATATATATATATATATATAACAACGAATATTGCAAAAATGTATGTTTTTTTTGCGAACACTTGTTTCTCTACTAGTAAGGTCCAGTTCCACCCGTCAAATCAATATTCATTAACAAGATGCGTTAGATCATTAGATGTAAAATCAAAAGTAATAAGCTTAATATTTTTATATAAGAAAGAAAGAAAAATAAAGAGTGCATCTGATGACTATCAAATTGAATATCTATATCTATATTTATATCTAATATTAAAAAAGCAAAAAATTCTTACGAAAAATCTTTCATCCAATAAGACATCTACCCGGTTATGATTTATATTTTTTTGTTTTCACGCGCGAGTCCTTCTGCTCGTATATGTTTGGCATCTTCCATCGGGGTGTCTCAGGATGTGCTGGCCCCCTCGTCCAGGCTGGTGTCCGTGACCGTGACTACCCATTCCATGTTTTATTTTATTTTGTTTTTCTTTTCTAATGAGGGAACTATCCTTTTTCTTATATTACGAAGTTAAAGAACAAATACAGTATTACGTTTGAAACTCTAACCTTAATAAATAATAAATATTTCTATTACTAAGTTGTTAGTTTTAATTAAAAATTAATTATTATTACTACTATAATATGAATCAGTTGATGGTCTAACTAATTAAATTGTAAATTGAATTCTTAAGCAAATTGTCATCAAATCTAATCAAAATAAATGTTTCTCCAAGCTATTTGCATACCAGTACAAATCTTTAAGTTCTCCACAGATACCAATGGAGCTCTCGTCAAGTGCTGGCATGTGGAAATCGAGACACGATGATGACGAACCCATGCCGACTTTAGTTCTAGATATATTAAAATTAAATATTTTTATGGATTCTCAAAAGAAGTCACCGAACTTTGATATCTAACTCTACCAGCACATGGATAGTATGAAAACTAAAGTTGCAATACATTTGTGAATAAATATTTTAGTGCCCTACGACGAAAGAAAAAAATCCTATCAATGTTGTAATTTAATTCAATACATAACTAATACAACATTGTCATATTATTGCTAATATTAACTTATATTATGGATACAATGATCATCATATAATAAAAATATATCTTTTAAATTTTATATAAAAAGGATAATAAATAAATATTTAACATTGTCATCATTGTTCCATCAATAGGCCTGTTCGCTTGTAATTGTTGCAGTAACCACTCACAGAATCAAGTCACCTATACAAATTAAGCTGTCGTGGCCGCAACAAAGCTAAAGCGAACGAGGCGAATGTTTGACAATTTTTTTTCTCCCGTTGCGACTCTTTATATTTTTTGTTACACTATAGTATCTCTGTATATTTTTTTTTCTTACTGAGGTCTATCTCGTATCCGCTCATTTTGTATTTACATGTCGTATCAGGTTTGTTCTAAGTCAATATTTCTAACTTTAACTATCAATTTAAAAATCTAGATGTTTCCACAACATATAAACTATATATATATATATTATGAAAGTATTTTCCATAGGGTTTAGGGTTTTAAAAAAACTGAGGGAAGTATTCTCTTTACTGATTAGCACCGGTCATGTTGCACAAATCGCTACCTTCACCGATTTTTTTTTTTTTTGACGAAAGAAGAGCACCAGTCATGTTGCACAAATCGCTATCGAATCCGACAAACGTAACGCAGCTCATGTGACACGAGGCCGAGAAGATCTGTCAAACTTTCTGGATGTTATCTTTCTGTATTAGTAGCAGTAATCATTTGAAAAGGAAAAAGGAAGGAATAGCGAAAAGGGCTAGAACAGTCATCAAAACTCAAAAACCTACAGCCCTTCCGCGCACTGCCGCCGTCTGTCCACTATGGCCTTCGCCACCTCCCCTTCCCTGTCCGCACTCGCTTCCTCCTCGTCCGCCGCCGCCGCCGCCGCCGCCGCCACCACCACCTACTCCTCCTCCTCCTCCACGCATTCTTCCAACGCTTTTCACGAGCCAAGGCCTCTCCACCTCTCGCTCAAGCCCGTCTACCCGCTCCCCAAACCGCATGCGCTCTCCTGCTCCGCGCCGCACATCCCCCGCGCCGCCTCCGGGGACGGATCGGGCTCCGGGAACCGCGGGGATGACTCCGGTGGGAATGGAGGCAAGGATGGAGGCGGCGGCGGGGGTGGAGAGAATGACGACGACTACGAGGAGGCGGAGTTCGGACCGCTGCTCGGCTTCGACGAGGTGCTGCGCCTCGCTGCGGCGCGCGGCGTTGCGCTCCCGGGCGACATGATGGAGGCGGCCAAGGACGCCGGCATCCGGGAAGTCCTCTTGCTCCGCTACTTCGATCTGCAGGTCCTCAAATTTCCGGGAATTTGTCTGGAAGATGTGGTGAACTTTGCCGTTTTTCCTCATTCCTTTGATGTTGATCTGCGTAGGCCGCGCCGTGGCCGCTAGGCGCGATGATCCGCGCCTTCTCGATGCTCCGCAACCGGATGCTCGCCGACCCGTCGTTCCTCTTCAAAGTTGGCACCGAGGTGGGTGCGGTTGGTCAGTTATTTTTTCAAGTAGTCAGAAGATAGTAGTTCTGCTGTTGCTAACAATTGCGTTATGGGTTCAATGCAGATTGTGATCGACTCTTGCTGCGCGACATTTGCAGAGGCGCAGAAGAGGGGAAAGGATTTTTGGGCGGAGTTTGAACTGTACGCTGCTGACCTTCTTGTTGGTGTAGCAGTTGATATTGCACTTGTGGGGCTGCTGGCTCCATATGTGAGAATTGGGAAGCCATCTGCTTCAACGGGGCTCTTTGGAAGATTTAGCAGGATGGCTGGATCTTTGCCAAGCAGGTGAAATTTCATTTCCAGTTGTTGTCTATGGACATTTGTACCACACCATGAAAAATAATTGAATTTGAAAGTCTGTTTAACTTGTATATCACTCCCATGACCATTTTTTCATCTATGAAATTGAAAGAGAATGGAGATGTTGCTAAACTAGCAATAGAGCTTTGAATTAAAAAATCTATTTCTGTATGACACTAAGATTTTAAAACTGCAGTGTTTTTGAAGCTGAAAGACCAGGCTGCAGATTTACAGTCCAGCAAAGAATTGGAACATACTTTTACAAGGTAATGAACCTTACGTGGCAAAGATACTCCCAATTTTGAGCCATGTATGATTGTTAGTTCGAACTACAGGAGCATTGCCATGCTGTTTGTACAAATTGCAGGGTGTGTTGTATGGTTCAGTTGGATTTGTCTGTGGCATAATTGGTCAAGGAATTGCTAATATGATAATGACTGCCAAAAGGTAACAGCATAACGTTATTCGTGCATCTACACATCAAAATCTCTTTTTGCTATTAAATGATAAATGACTAAGTTCATAGTTGCTTGCTTCCCATTTTGGTTTCTTGTTGATCCACACACTATTGTATTATTTTGCACATAGATTTATAGGTTTCTTTTATTAATACCATGTCTATGTGTTTCACTCATGCTCAGTAATGTTGATTAATATCTTTATCTATTTTTTCCCTGCTGTCTTGTCTTGTGTACTGATGTACGTTCCTTGTTCAGGAGTGTCAAAAAATCAGATGAAGATATTCCTGTTCCACCTCTTGTTAAAAGTGCAGCTCTGTGGGGTAAGCCTATTATCTGTTTCCCCTTCATTATCACTTTTACTCGATCTGAGAAACATTTTTGGCTATTTGACATTCGGCTGATAAATTCACCTGATGATTTTTCTACATCATATTCAAATGGTGAATCAATTCTAACTAATGAAAAAATCACATCTCCGACATAGGAAGTAGCCGAGACAGTTGGGATATGTAGTGGTAGTGCTGCCTGAGGTCCACCATGCTCTCTTGAAGGTTCTTTTCACTGATCTTATATATGGAGTTGAAACTTTTGATGATCCAATAGTTGATTCAAAGGTATCAAAATCCAGACAGTCAAGAAAAAGGGGCACTAATACTCTAACAATAGAATTAAAGATTAATAAACTAACTGCTAATAACATGACTTGGCCAAAGTGTTGGCTAGAAGGTATTAGAAGTCAGTGTATCAATCTTTAATTAGTTCTCTTGTTAGAGTATCAGTGTCCCTTTTTCTTCACCGTATAGATTTAGTTCCTTTAAATCAATTCTTGGATCCACAAGAAAGGTGGACCTCAGGCAGGACTAAACCACTACATCTCCCAAGTGTCTAGGCTGCTACCAAATAGCAAGTATGGTTTGTTGTCTACTGAAATGGCATCCTGAAGTTAATGTACAGCAGAGCTCAATGTTGAATGGCTTGCACTTGGCTAATCTTTTACTACGTTTTCTTCAATATTGACATAACTATCTTGGACCAGATAATCTCAGATGACGAAAGTTCATGTTAAAAATTTCCCATTCTGGCTCATGCTGAGCTTGTGCAATTTTATGCAGCGTGCTTTGTGATTTGTGTGCACATCTAAGGTATAGTTTCTCTTGTTGGGTTCTTCCAATTTAACTGAGAACTGACAAACTATGTTTGACATGTAGGTGTGTTCCTCGCTGTATCATCTAACACACGCTACCAGATCATCAATGGCCTGGAGCGGGTAGTGGAGGCATCACCCGTCGCAAGACGTGTCCCCCCTGTTGCTATGGCTTTCACAGTTGGTGTTCGTTTTGCCAACAATATCTACGGTGGAATGCAGTTCGTGGATTGGGCTCGGTGGAGTGGCGTTCAGTAATGGTGGTACTCTTCGTTGCAGTTACCAAAACATCATTAGGTTCAGGTGGATCTGTGTTGTTTGTTTCATTACATTTTCTGGTAAGTAGCGGAGGCTGGGGCAGAGCTCTGTGAAAGTTTAACTCATTTACTATGACAAACAAGGAAGTACATCGCATCATATGGCATTTCTATTGCTGCTCGTAATTGATCATGTGCACTTTTTGCCAGACTGAATGAATAAACGCGTCCCGACTCCTGAATTGCCCCTAAATCATTAGATCACTGCCTCAGCCCTCAGTGCCTCCTGTTGTGTTCAGTCAGCTAGTGGCGAATGTTGAGTCGTGGGAAACTTGTTCAGCTCTTTGAACTGAATTGTGTGCACAAATGATATTGAAGAAAAAATGTTCACCGCTATATGGTGAGGGAAAAAAGGAAATCACATTTTCATTATAGTGCCAGTATGCTGAGGAAATGTTTAGGTAGCAGAAGTATCCTGATGATGCATTGACCGGATCAGTTGAAATTGTATGGTGATCAGATCAGCGGTACGCCGGTACCAGTGAAGTCAAGAAATCGAAAACGATGTGTCTTATGATTCTACTATGTACTACAGTATGTATATATAATACTAATATTTAGTCATCACATGATGATGGGTACATCCGTACAGGTAGCAGGTGGCGTGTTGGAAAACAAGAGTGATGCGAGACGGTCCAATTTGTGCTCTCCGAACGAGAAGAAATGAAGACACGATAGAAGAGCCCGGCACGGGACAGGCTCGCTCGACCCTCCTGCCGCTTGTGGTGCTGTCTCTGGCCGCGGCCGCGGCCGCGGCGGGCGGCTTGTGCCCGGCGAGCTGCGGCATGATTGACATCTCGTACCCTTTCGGTGTAGGTCCGGCGTGCTCCCTGCAGGGGTTCAACCTCACCTGCGACTCCAACACGTACGGCAACCAGCTCCGGCTCGGCAGCCCCAACGTCAGCGTGGACTACATGACGGTGTCCGCGAGCGGCTCCATCACCGCGCTCGCCGCCCACGTGATGCGGTCCGTGAGCATGCCCTCCGCCGCCGCCGCCTACTCCGCCTCGTGGGAGGGCCCAGGCAGGCCGTTCGCCATCTCCGGCTCGTCGAACATGTCGCTGTTCGTTCTCGGCTGTGGCGTCGCGGCCGCGCTGCTGGACAGCGGCACCGGAGCCGCGGTCGGGAACTGCTCCGTGATCTGCGCCGGGGAGCAGGTCATGGAGAGGCTGCCGGACGGGCTCTGTGCCGGCGTGGGATGCTGCCGCATCGACGTGCGAGTGCCCCTCAGGGCGTTCGTCCTCAACCTCTCGCGCACGGGCGAGGGTGTCATCAGAGACAGGGTGATGTTCCTGGTCACTGGCCGAGACGGGTACACGTTTCGGGCGAGCGACCTGGAGCAAGGCATTGATGCAGGTGAGGTCGCCCCAGCTCTGCTGGACTGGGCCATCCCTGACCGCCCGAATTGCGCACTGGCTGTGACGAACAGGGCTAGCTATGCCTGTGTCAGTAACAACAGCGAGTGCCAGGACTCACCGATTGGTGGCTACGTTTGCCACAGCTCCCAGGGTTTCTTCGGCAACGCCTACGTCGTCGATGGCTGCGTACCAAACCAAGGTAATCCTCCTCTCCGTGACTCCATCTATGCCTCTTCTCGCCACTCGAATGTCTTGCCAATTGCTATTGAGCAACAAGGTAATCCTCCTCTCCATCTATGCCTCTCCTCGCCACTCGAATGTGTTGCCAATTGCTATTGAGCATGGTCGTCTAAATTGCTTCTGCACCTCAAACAGTTTATGGTTCAAGACAGCCGAAGGCGAATTGTCCGACTAGGTGCGGGAACGTGAATATCCCATTCCCCTTTGGCATGGAGCTGGGCTGCTTCGCAAGGATATATCCACATTCGTTGATCTCCACCAAGTCGACCAGCCAACTTGGATCCTGATCCGCGTCCTAATCGGGGACGCCCAACCAAATCATGGTTGGTGGGTTCTCGTCGCACTGCTTTATATAAGAGAGAATTTCTTGTGTGTCATTAAAAAAGATCGCAATGCACTGTGTGTCTCTAGAAAAGTTCATGGTGGTCTCAATACACATCGCTTCTAACTTTTGTGTCCTCCATACCACTTGCCCGTCGGTTTGGGCTCTAACGCCGTTCAAGCTGCAGGTGTGAAAAGTTGAAAATACCCTTATGTCTAAATATGTCATTAATTTTTTGAGCATCTTAACGACTTCAAATGAAAAACTCAAAACTAGAAAGTTGTAGATCTCGTCGAGATCTATAATTTTTATATACAAATTATTTTCATTTAATTCCGCAAAAATATGATTTTTCTAAGATATATTAATCATATCAAATCATATTTTTTGCGGAATTAAATGAAGATAATTTTTATATGAAAATTATAGATCTCGACGAGATCTACAACTTTCTAGTTTTGAGTTTTTTCATTTGAAGTCGTTAAGATGCTAAAAAAATTAATGACATATTTAGATATAAGGATATTTTCGACTTTTCACACCTGCAGTTTGATGGCGTTAGAGCCCAAATTGACGGCAGTGGCATGGAGGGCAAAAAAAGTTAGAGCAGTGGCGCTGAAAACCACTGAACTTTTTCAGGGGCACACAGGGCATTACGATCTTTTTTTAATGGCAGACAAGGAATCCCTCCTCTATATAAAGAGGTCGGAGCCGGCGGCTCACGGTACGAGATTCACCGGTTTTGCCAAAGCACCCCACCGATAAATCCTAACCGATCTAAGGGAGTGCACCCGCCGCCACTGTCCTTCTCGACTCGCCGTCGCCCGCGCCGCCACTCTCCGGACCTCACCGCGCTGCCACTGACCCGGGCTGCACTGACACCGTCGCTATGGCGAGCTCCTCCGCCAAGCCCACCGATGGTCAGCTATCTCTGCACCTCTCACTCTCTCTAGTTCATGTTCAAGATCGGATCTAGGCTTGTTTAACCCGAATTGAAAAGGAATCACCCGCTAGAACTACTTCGATCCTAAGAACTAATATACATCTCTACCTGGCGTGTAACCCGGGGCCAACTCCTCCCATCCTCCAGATGACTGAGCATTCGGCGGTCACTGACATTTCCATCGACCAAGGCATCTTGAGAATTCAGAAGCTCTCTGAACCAGGCGGTTTCCTGGACGGTCGGGACAGCACGTTCTACGCCTTCTCCGGAGAGTCTGGTGTGGTGAAGTGGGCTGTGGATAACTCGACTTGCGAAGATGCAATGGCGAACAGGGACCAGTACATGTGTGTCAGCACTCATAACGAGTGCATAGAAGTCACGGACAACAGGACGAGCAGGCATGTGGGGTACAGATGTAGATGCTCCTCTGGTTTCGAAGGGAATCCTCATACAGTGTGACGTTGAAGATGGATGCACAGGTAAGTTTCAGGAATGCTTAATTGTCATTGCCATGTTCCTGGATAGTTATCTACTTTCTCTGTCTCATGGTACGACGTGCAATCTGCAGATATTGACGAGTGCTTGCAGCCAGATAAATACATTTGCCATGGCGTCTGCCGGAATAGCCTTGGAAGCTTTTCTTGCACTGAGTGTCCGCATGGAACAGAGTTCGACACTGCTGCAAGAAAGTGTAAAGCATCCAGCACTATTTTAGGTCGCTGTTGATCACCGGGTTCACTTTTTTTAGCACTTCTCCCGTATTTCAAGCACCTGTTTTTTTTGTTGTTGTTCAAGCAATAGGTAATTTTGTCATTGTTTAACTATAGGAAAAAAATGTGAAATGTCTCTTATGAGTTGTTCTTTTAATTGTATTAGTTGGTTGTATAAGATTATTGCCTAAAATCATCTCAAAATTAGGACAAATATAACAACTCCTTTTTTTTTACTGTAAACGACATATGCTCACAAGTCCGCAACCAATGCAGGTATCACCATTGGAATCAGTTCTGGTGGTGGCCTTCTATTTCTTGCAACAATCGCTGTTATTCTCAACCGAAGATGGAAGAAAGGAGTCCAAAAGCGGCTCAGGAGGCGGTACTTCCGCAAGAACAAAGGCATTCTCCTTGAGCAGCTCATCTCCTCTGACCAGAACGCGAGCGACAGCACAAAGATATTCTCCCTGGCCAAGCTAGAAAAGGCAACGAATAACTTCGATCAAGCCCATGTGGTTGGCCGCGGCGGCCATGGTACGGTCTACAAAGGCATCCTAATGGATCAGCGCGTCGTCGCCATCAAGAGGTCGAAGCTGGTGGCTAACGCAGAGATAGACGAGTTCATCAACGAGGTCGCAATCCTCTTGCAGATCAACCACAGGAACGTGGTGTAGCTCACGGGAGGAACGCCTAAGGATCGCCACCGAGGTTACCGGCGCGCTCACGTACCTGCACTCGGCGGCTTCCATGTCGGTACTTCACAGAGATGTCAAGTCATGAACGTGCTCCTGAACGACAGCTGCTAGATAATTAGGCATTTTCATGTCTAATTTAATTTAGAAATAAAACATCAACAGCTTAGTGACGACATATATGTGTATTTATATATCACTAACAAATACTATAGCATGTAAGTATGACATATCGATCGATACAGTAAGTACGCAAAGTACGGTAATCAGAGAGTTAAGAGTGTATCCAGTGGAGGGTCTCATGCCGAGAGCATCGAAGGCTCCATTCGCACCAGACATAGTGCGTTGCTCGAAGTCGTGGACCACAGTCGATGTAGGAAAGTATTCGCTGTGCAGTCCCATGAACGGTCACCAGGAAGAAGACACCTTTCTGTTCCGCGAGCGATCACTAGAAAGAAGACGTCTGTGACGTGGACGAAAAGTCGCGGAATCGCTCCCCAAATACCTAATCGCCGCACACCCCGTGCAAGGTTCGCATGCGGACGAGGGTTCGGGAGGCAACTGCTCTCCCGTTGCTCCGTGCGCACAGAGGTACGGGACGGAAAAAACCAAAGGACGGCTGAGATATGGTCTCTCGGAAGCGAAGGGAAAAGAGGACTGACGGATGACTTTTACTTTTATGCCTACGGCGGGGAGGGAGAAAGCCAGTCGAGGAACTCAGGAGACGAAGACACGGCCCTGTTTGGCTTACCCCATATTCCACTTGTTCGGCTTCTTTTTTCAGCCGGAACAGTGTTTTTCTCTCACAACAATTCAACCGGAACAGTATTTTCTAGCCAGTTTCAGCCAAGTTTTAGACCAGCGAACGGGGCCGAAGAGACGGTAACTGGCGCAATCAACTCGCCTCCACCATAAAAGAGAGAAACTCCTGTAATTATGTGGATTAAGTGGCAAAACCTGGTCACGCCCGCCCGTCCGCTCGCTCGCCGCCCGCCTGCCACGCCCACGTCCTCGGCCCGCCCACGCCCACGCCCACGGCCCGGCCCGACCAGTGACGGCGGCGCGCGCGCGCGTGTGGCACTCCTGTGTCCTTTTCTCAACTTCTCAATTAAGATGGATAATTTTCAACCAAATAAGCTGAGTCAACATTTAGTTAAAATCTCGTACGATATTAAACCATACAACGCTTAATGTTACGGACTATAGAGTTTTATTTGATTTATTAAATATTATATGGGCCAAGCCCATAATATATCAACAATCTCCATCAAACTCTAGGGTTTGTAACAAAATAGTCTCAGAACCACATTTCTTTTATATACCAGTGTTTCGAGAGAGACTGTTAAGTTGAACATCCATCTAGAGCAATAGTTTCACTCAGTCACAACTGAACAATGAACTAAACCTTGAATTGACAGTTTTATGTGAGGTGAATGTCACTAAAGTTCTTAGCTGATACTAGGCTGCAAAAGACATCCCCTCTATTTGAAGCATATAAGTCATACTCTAATGCCTTTCATGAGTATTTAGAGATCACCTAAATCTCATAGACTGTGACTAGCAGTCTGACTCATATAGGTGTGTTCCTCAAAAGATGTTCTGTAGGACAACATCTTTGCTTTAGCAAGCTACTTGGAACACATTAAGGTAAAAAACAACCTGCCTTACAGAAAGGAAAGATATGCATCAGAAATGAATTTTACTAAGGATCTTTTCTCATAATTTACTACTAGATTGTTTCATCATCCTACTTCACGGGATCTCCGATCATATAGAACAGGTTACCACTATAGTAAATTTCATGTGGGTCTCAAACACATCTCTCTCGATGCACTTTTTATCATATTACGTGACAGACCCTTAGTGAATTGATCTACCAGATTTTTAGACGTGTGAACATAGTCCAACGCTATTACTCCGAAGTTTCTCAATTTTCTGACAGATTTTAGTCGTCTCTTAACATGTCTTGTGGACTTCATGTTATCCTTAGAACTGTTAACCTTCGTAATCACAGTCTGGTTATCGCAGTTCATAGAAATAGCCGGTATGGGTTTTTCAACAACCGGTAAATCTATAAGGAGATCACAAAGCGACTCGGCCTCAGAGTCAGCGGTGTCTAATGTTGTGAGTTCTGCTTTTATTGTAGACTTCGTTAAGATAGTCTGCTTGCAAGACTTCTAGGAAACAGCACCACCTACAAACGAAAACACAAATCCACTTGTGGCACAAAGCTCTTCAGCATCAGAGATCCAGTTGGCATCACAATAGCCTTCCAGCACCTTCGGGGTGTCCGGTATAATGAATACCATAGCTCATAGTGTCTTTTAGATAGCGCATCACTCTCTCAAGAGCACGACAGTGATCATCTTCCGAGTTTGACACAAACCGGCTCAGCTTGCACACAACAAATGAGATGTCAGGCCTTGTTGCAGTAGCAAGATACATGAGCGAACCAATGATCTAAGAATATCTCAATTGATCTCTTGCTATTCTCTGATTTTTCCTCAATAGCACACTAGGGTCATAAGGTGTAGGAGCAGGTTCACAGTCACTTAACCCAAAGCGACTCAGCACCATTTCCACATAGTGCGATTGTAACAGAGTTACCCCACCATCACCTTCTCTCAGAAGCTTGATATTAAGAATAACATCAGCATCTCCTAAATCTTTCATTTCAAAATTATTAGATAAAAATTTCTTCACCTCCTCAATCACTTTGAGGCTGGATCCAAAGATCAGTTTGTCATCCACATATAAGCACAAAATAACTCCTTCACCCTCACCATACCGATAGTACACATATTTGTCATCTTCATTCATAACAAAGCCAACAGATGTTAGAGTTCTATCAAACTTCTCATGCCACTGCTTAGGAGTTTGTTTTAGGCCATATAATGACTTTAATAATTTACATACCTTGCCTTCTTGATCATTTGCTACAAATCCATCAGGCTGATCCATATAGATCTCCTCCTCTAACTCTCTGTTTAGGAAAGCTGTTTTAACGTCCATTTGATGAACGATAAGACCATAAGAGGCTGCCAGGGAAAGCAAAACTCGAATTGTAGTCAATCGGGCAACCGGTGATTACGTATCAAAGAAATTCTCACCTTCCTTTTGAGTATAACCCTTGGCCACAAGTCTTATCTTGTACCTCTCGATAGTACCATCAGGCTAAAGCTTTTTTTGAACACTCATTTGTATCCTATAGGCTTGCACCCATAAATACGATCTACTATTTCCCAAGTTCCATTAGACATAATAGAATCCATCTCACTTCGTACTGCTTTCTTCCATAAGTCAGCATCAGGAGAGGAATATGCCTCTTCGATGGTCGTTGGTGTGTCATCCACAAGGTACACAATATAAGCATCACCCAAAGACTTTGCAGTCCTCTGTCTCTTACTTTTTCTAGTGACTATAGTGTCATCCTCCTCAGGATTTTGCATATAAGGTTTCTCAATTTGTTCTATCGGAGTAAAATTTTCATGCTAACGGGAAATTATAAATTCATGACCAGTCGTGCTAGGTTCATTTTTCATGGGAAATCCATTCTAAAAAATGTAGCGTCTATAGATTCTATGATTGTATCAACAGCCATCTCAGGAACACTAGAATTTATAATTAAAAATCTATAACCCACGCTATGAATAGCATAACCAAGAAAAACATAATCAACAGTGTTTGGTCCAAGCTTTTCGCTTTTTGTTTATTTACACATTCACCTTTCTCAAACAACCCCAAGTTCGCAGGTAAGATAGATTTAATCTCTTCTTCTCCCATTCCTCGAATGGTGTAATTTCTTTGTTCTTTATGGGCACCCTATTCAGGACATGACACGCTATCAATATAGCCTCACCTCACCATTCCTTAGATAGTCCCGCAGTTTCTAACATGGCATTAACCAAATCAGTTTGAGTGCGGTTCTTTCTCTTTGTAATTTCATTGGACTGTGGTGAGTATGGTGGCGTCCTCTCATGAATAATTTCATGCACCGCGCAAAACTCATAAAATTCATTTGAGAAATATTCTCCCCCGCAATCGGACCGCAAACGTTTGATTTTTTTTTCTCAAGTTAATTTTCTACCTCAGCTTTATAGATTTTAAAATAATGCAAGGCTTCATCTTTAGTTTTTAATAAATACACGTAGCAAAATCTATACAATCATCTATAAATGTCATGAAGTATCGTTCACCGCCTTTAGTCAATTCGTCATTCATTTCGCATAAATCAGAATGAACGAGTTCTAATGGTGTCAAGTTCCTCGCCTCAGCAGCCTTGTGAGGCTTGCGCGGTTGCTTTGATTGCACACACACCTGATACTTACAATCTTTGACTAAGTTAAATTTTAGGATTAAATTCAGATTTGCAAGCCGCGTGAGACAGTCAAAATTAATGTGACAAAGTCGTGAATGCCATATATTCGACTCATCCGAAATATTAACATTGTTCACTACTTTATTACACATATCATCAAGCAAAGATAAGCGAAACAAGCCTCCACAATCATAACATTTTCCAACAAATGTTTCATGTCTCGACACAACACACTTATTGGACTCAAGCACAATTTTAAAGCCATCGCGACACATTTGAGAACCGCTAACCAGATTCTTCTTGATGGAGGGGACATGCTGCACGTTTTTTAATAGCACCGTCTTTCCCGAAGTAAACTTCAGAACGACCGTACCAACACCAAGAACGCGCGCATGTGAACCGTTTCCCATCAGCAAGGCTTTAGTCTCGCCGACCTGATAGGAAGTAAACAAAGAAACATTAGCACATACATGAATATTAGCACCGCTATCCATCCACTGCTCAGGTGAAAGACAAACTGAAAGAACAAAAGGTAAAGAGTTACCATACCCAGATGTTTCTCCTCTAGTCTCGCTAATTACCATGTTTGCTGATTTTTTTTCTTTCTTATATTTGCGGTCTGGGCACGCACTTGCCCAATGCTCATGACTCCCGCAAACAAAGC